ACTTCCCGGGGCTGCACCTGCTGGACGTGGGGCCGGGCGACATTCGCATCTACAGGGGTTGCCAGCGGCCCCTGGGCGGGGCGGCCATCGCCGTCCCCGCGGGGTGGGAGACGATGGCCGCTGCGCGCGCCGCCTTCGAGGCAGCGCTCGGGATCCTGCCGCCGGAGCCGCTCCAGACGCCGTGGGCCCTCTTCGACTCGCAGGGGTCCCGGCTGGAGAGTGTGCAGGCGCTGCTCGGCTTGCGGGTGGCGTTCCTGCTGGAAATCGGACAGTGGATGTGGCCCGCGGTGCGAGTTGGCTTCGTGCAGGAGGCTGCTGGCGCCCTGGAGGGGAAGCCCCTCAGGCTCAGGACGCTCTCTCTGAGGCCCGTCGTCTTCGAGGTGGAGGGCTTCATGCAGTCCCACGAGGCGGATAGGGTGATCAGCATGGGCAATAAAACCGGCATGTTCAAATCCAGGGGGATCCTCGAGAGTGCCGACAGGGTCAGCCAGCGCGCGCAGACGGAGTACCGCACGTCAACGCAGGCGTGGCTCCGGAGGTCCCAGTCGCCCGTGATCGACGCGCTGGACCTGCGAACCGCGAACCTCACCCGCGTGCCGAGGGAGCACAATGAGGAGGTTCAGCTGCTCAACTACGCTTCGGGCCAGTTCTACTCCTCCCATCTTCGGCGACTGCAGCGCGTCTGGTTACGCCGGGGGCGTCGTTTGCCATCGGCGCCATAGGGGCCCGGGGGGCACGGCACTGTCTGCGTCGTGCCTCCTCGGGGCGCGCGGCAGAGGACTCCATCGAGATCCGCCCCCCGCCCCCCCGGGGTGCCCCCAGAGTGCCGGTTGCAAACCACCCCTTGTGCAAGCCACACCGTTTGGAGTCGCTGGCATCTGGACTGGCTCGACCTGACCCTTCACAACGGGCAGAGGGCGGTGTGGATGAGGTCCCACTTCGGCTGGCAGGACCGCTTGGCCACGCTGTTCTGGTACCTCAACGACGTGCCCGAGGGTGGCCAGACCGTTTTCCCGCGGGCGGGCAGCGCCGTCTGCCCTGGCTTCGTGAGCAATTGCCAGGGCGTGCGCTACGCGCCGCCCAGGGCCTGCAACGTGGGCCTCCAGGTGCAGCCCAAGAAGGGCTCGGTGATCCTGTGGTACAACCACCACCCCAATGGCAGGGGCGACCACAACGCCCTCCACGGGGGCTGCCCCCCTGCCGAGGGCCTCGAGAAGTGGTCTGGGAACAAGTGGATCTACATCAAGCCGAGGCGCGCCCCGCCATCGCAGTGGATGGACGACCACCCCGCGCTCCGGCGCTTCGGCTGGAACGAGAACGCGCTCCAGGAGCTTGCCAGGGGCAAGGAGGTCACAGACGATCCGAAGGGAGCCTGCACCCTGTCTGTGACCAACGGGTACTCGAGCGCTGGCAGTCTGAAGCTCGCGTGGATCGACCCCGTGACCGGGCGGGCGACCCACGTGGCGGAGGTCCCGGGGGGCGAAGAGCTTCAGGTGCAGTCCTGGCTCGGCCGCCACTTCGTCGTGACCCACGGCGAGGAGAAGTCCAGGCCCTTCGCCTGCGACAGGGCGAGCAGCAGCTTCCGCGTCGGCGCCGACCTCGTGGTCTCGCCCGTGTTGCCTGGCGCGGCCGACCCGCGCCATCGGCAGGAGGTGTGAGCTGGGCTCGCGTGTCCGCCTCCGCTCCGCTCCAGTTGGCTGCCCGTCTGCGCCAGGCCGTGAGAAGTCATCACCGGGGTTCACTATCCAGGGGCCAGGTTCACCAGCACCTAACGTCGGCGTCATCCCAGCGTACTGCTACGATTCGGGGAAGCGTGAGGCTCGAGTGCGCCGGAACTCGGGTTAGCCGACCCAGATTTTGACGGTCCAGTTTTCGTCGGATGTTTGCGGCGGGGGGGGCGCGTAAGTTTCAGACTGGGTCGCGTCATTTTCATGATGGCCCCGTCAGGCCAACCCGAGTCCCTCGAACCCGAGTCTTAGGTCTCCCCAAACTATGTGTGCGTCGCCCCCCCCTGGGGCGACGCGCTCGCCGAGAAATCTTATAGTCTGTGCTTCGGGCGGGCGCTTTCAGGCCGTACCGCTCGGGAAACGATCTACTACAAGATGGTTGTATTATATGGCCGGGTCGGATGCACGCCTATACGAGGAGGACGTAGTATTAGTTTTCTTTTCTGCGTCCCACCCAACACCTGGCCGGTAAAACCAAACAAGTAGATCAAGCAGTGGCCACGCGTCCTGGTTCGCCTATAGGCCTACCAAAGAATATTCTAAGAACCTTTTGTGGTTTCCACGAAATGTTCTTGAACCTTTTCTGGTTGAGACGGTCTTGTTTTAGCACATCGGGTTAATGCTCTAAGAACAATGTTTTTGTTCTCAGAACAGTGTGGGGTTCTGAGAACATTTCGTGGTAGGACTATAGGAATGTCGGGACGGTCGGTCCTTTGTCGTGGTAGGACGGTCGGCTCAACTAGAGCTAACCATGCCTACTGTTGATTGCTTCTCGGCCGCCAGCTCCCACACGGCGCGGGAGTGCGGCTCGCGGCGGCTCCTCGAAGAGGTGGCACAAGCATGAACCTTCGGAGCTCCGCGCGGATTTCTTGGATCGGCGCTGGTCTCGGAGAAGGGCCAGTTGAGACAGCGGCGCCCCTCCCTGGCGGTGTTCGTCGTTCCTGAGCCTCCCGCAGGGTTCTCACCTCCACGGCTGGGTCGGCTCCGGACCCGCCTGGCGGCGCCGCTCCTGCGCGCCAGGGATGGGCCCTGGGAGGGGCCCTAGCGCCGATCCGAGAAGTCCGCATGGAGCTCCGAAGGTGCATGCTTATGGCGCTCTTTCTTCTTTACGCGCTGTTGCCTCCGCCTCCTTCGCACAGCGGAGACTTGCATCAGAGAAGCGACACGCTATCCACGATAGTGTTGCGTTTCAGGATGTCCAGGTCTTCTTGTCGTCCAGCGCGGACAGAGACGAATGGCCGATCACGAATGGCCGAGGGCCGTCAGAGTTCCCAGAACTCGTCATGAGCCAGTCGCATCATGACACTATTCTCGTCCTGCTGAAGCAGTTGGCGCACCTGGGCATGAGCTCGGACGCGTAACTCATTGTATGCTGTGATTGTCCAGCCCTTAGTGGGCCTTGGGAACGGCAGGCCGTTTTCACCTTTTCCGAATACGTGATAGGTTCTTGGACATGGAATTGGTAAAAAAAAAAAGGCAACTGGGAACGGCAACAACAACTGCTCTGGAACTGGAACCGGAACAGGGACCGGAACAAACACGCCAACGGAACCGGCAACAGAAACGGCGTCGCGTCCGGCAGCAAATACGGCAGAACGGGGCCGGCAACAGAATGGCTCTGCCGTTTCCAGGGCCCATTTCAAAGGCCTGTCCAGCCTGCAACGTTTGGGGAGGTGCGCCGCTCGTCGCGGTGGGCGCCGGCATGCACACCTGCGGGCTGCTGCCGCCTACAGCGCCGATAATAGGCCGCCGCCGCTCGCGCAGCGGTTGCCCGCGGGCTGCGCCGGGCCCCGCTGAGGCGCGAGCGCGGGGCGGCGCGCGAGGCCGGGAGGTGTCGACCGCGCGCTGGTCGCGCCCCTCGTGCCTGAGGCCGCGGCACCCTCTTGTGCAGCCAGCGGCCCCCCGGGCGCCGCGGAGGGCGCGCGCGCGCGGCCGCTGCCGCTCAACAGGCCTGGGGCGCTCCTCATCCTCCAGCTCCCTCCGCTCCGTATCCCTTGAACCTTCTAACCGGTCCCGTATCCCCATACATATCCCTGTCCCCAACCCTGTCCCCCCCTTGCCACCATCCTTCGTTGGGGATATGCCCCTCGGAGCTCGAGAGCAGCAGCCTATATATACACCGCCATCTAAGGAGGGGAATCGGCCAGCGGGGCCCAGGCCACGCCCGTGGGATAGGGATCGGTTGAACGCTGCTCAGCATCGACGGGTCCTCCCGGAGCTTCCGTGGGGCACCTGCTGGCAGGCCGCTTCTTTCTTTGATGTGCCTGCTGAGGGGCCTGCTGTGTGCCGCAGCGGCGGAGGCCAGAGCCGCCGGGGGGGTGCCCCAGGGGGTGCACGGTGTACGAGCTGCCGCGAGGCGGCGAGCCGCGATCTTTGCCCCGGGCGCGTCCGCCAGGGCGCCACTGGCCGGGGATCCTCCTCCTCCTCCTCCTCCTCCTCCTCCTCCTCCTCCTCCTCCTCCCTCCTCCTCCTCCTCCTCCTCCTCCCCCTCCCCCTCCTCCTCCCCCTCCCCCTCCCCCCCTCCCCCTCCCCCTCCCCCTCCCCTCCCCCTCCCCTCCCCCCCCCTCCCCCTCCTCCTCTCCTCCTCCTCCTCCTCCTCCCCTCCTCCTCCTCCTCCTCCTCCTCCTCCTCCTCCTTGTTCTAGCTGGCCAGCTGCGGTCGGGGACATTGGCTTCGTGTGTCGCGCCGCCAGCTCTGGGCCCCCCCCACGCTCCGGCTCGACACGCCAACCGCGTCCAGTCCCCGAGCGTCAGCGACCCGAGCCTTTCGAAGCCTCCCGCCCCAGGCGACGCGCTGTCGGCTCGCAGGGCATGGCGTGTCGCCCTGGGCCGCCGCCGCGACGCGCGGAGTGCAGGTGTCCCGACCGTCTGGCGAGCCCGACAGTTTGCTTCTCGTGCGCGTGCTTGGGCCGCGCGCCGCCCTCCTCGCGGCAGCGGCCGCACCCGTCGGGCTGCGCCGCGGAGGGGGGGGGGGGGCGCGCCCTCGGGCGCTGCCGGAGGAGGCCGAGGCCACAGCGAGCACCACGGGCGCGTGCCGCCAAGACCAGCGGCTGCGCAGGCTCACGTTGCAAAGCCAGTTCGACTCGGCCTCGAATCTGGGAGGAGAGCCGTGCACGCAGGAGGCCCAGACAGCAATGGTCTCCCAGCGTCTACGCAGCGCTGCCCTGACGTAGGCGTGAGCTGCATGGGGAACACGTATCATGATGTGCTGATACGCCGTCTAGGCGCCAGGCTTGCTTGCTTGCGCTCATGAGTGAAAAAGGAGAGAACTTGTACACGATTTCGCGTCGTTTCGAGATCACACATTGTGTGAACATTCGTAACGCAAGGTTGACCTCGGTACGTGTCAGGGGGGGGGGCGTATTAATGCACGTGGCTCGGCGCGTACGTCTGTTTCGGGCTCGTCGCCGAGGAGGCCGATGCCACCATTGGACAAAAATGACAAAAACAGACTCTGCAGTCTCAGGGGCTTCCCATGGATGTGGGCCTTTCTTGGGGCTCTGGGGAACGTTGAGGAAGCCTCCTGGGAGCCTCTTGGCCGCTTCTTCGGCGTTTGGCGTCGCAGAGGCCTCTCGGGCCCTCTCAGGAGTCCCCGGGAGGCCTCTCCGGCGGTCCTGGGGGGTCTATGGGAGGGGTTCCAGTTGATTTACACGTCGTTCATTTTTAATTCTTCGAAAGTTCTTTGATTTTGCGGGGCCCAAGATTCTTTCATTTCTAATTGTTCTATCCTGGGCCTCTTCCTGGCCACTAGGGGGCCAGGAACAATGAGAAACGAGCACAATTATAAATGAGCACGATTAGGAATGAACGACGTGTAGGCGCGTCTTGGACGACGCCTCTTGGTGTGTCACAGAAGCCCTCTGTGCATCTCGGGGGCATCGCAAGCAGCTTTGGAAGTCTCTTGAGAGCGCGAGGCAGGTCGTGTCGGAAGCAGTACGCCTTTGGGGAGGTGTCTCGGAGGGCGAGACAAGTCTTTTCCACCAGCGTCTCGCGAAAGATGCATGACCGCGTCTCGTGAGTCTCGTGGTGCGTCCCACTCCTCGAAAAGAGAACTGCAGAAACATTAGACGTTGGACGGCCCCTGGCGCGCTCCGCACGCTGGGGAGGGGGGCCAGCGCAGATCCATGAAATCCGCGAGGAACTCCAACAGTTTTTATGTTTATGCCGTTTTTTGTTCCTCTAACTCCCTCCCTGAATGAAGACATCGGCGGATGCACGGCCTGTCCGCTCTGGTTTGGCGGTGTGTTGCACGAAGGCCGACTTTGAGATCAGCAAACCCAGGCTCGCGCGGCGGAAGCTGGCGGAAGGGAGCAGCGGCATCATCTTTAGAGTCAGCGTTTCCAGAGTCTGGAGGGTGGTCAGAACCCCCTTTAGCAAAACACGCTTTCGTGAAAATACCCTGGGAACCAAACACCGCTTGCACAGGCACGCATAATTACGGCCGCAGCACTTCCTAGAGAAGTGAGTAAGGACAATCAGCCAGTCGACTTGGCAGGGTGGGGATTCTATCAATCTCCGAGTATCGCGTGCCCGCGCCTGAAGTCGGTCAGGCGCCAGCGTTGCCGTCGAGCCAGCCGCCGAAGCCATCGCCCAGCGCAGCCGGCTGCTGGAGCGCTTGCCTGGTTTGGCGGCTTGCCGAGCAGGCCGCGAGAGTGACCCTTCAGGGCCGCGTGCGACGCGATCCGACGCGATTCGACTCGCCAGCTGGGGCCTCGCTTCCGATTCGATTCGATTCGGCTCTATTCACTGGCACCGGCCACGGCCAGCTGGAACCACGCGCGAATTCGGATTTCGGGGAGATTTGCTGACGATCCGGTCCGTTTCCGACTCAGACCTGTGACTCGATCCAGCCCATGGGCTTGTCCCCAGACATGCGTGGCCCTGTTTGTTTTCAAGATGGGGCCCCAGGGAAGTCTGGGCCCATGCCGCGGGGCCAGTTCTCAGTCTGGGTCGTCTGCTGACGGCTCCTGCTCGGGGCCCTTCCTGCGTGTGGCCCCGGCAGGGCCGGCCGGCCGCGGCGGGAGCACTGCACCGTTGCCAAGGGAGATGCAGTCGGGGCCCCGAAGAAGGAGCCCTTTTTCGTTGGGGAGGGGCTCCGTGTTCCTTGATTGCTTCGCAGCTTGCCTCAGGTTGTCCTCAGGTTTCCGACCGGAGATCGCAGGTCAACTTCTGGAAACTAGGGGCCCCGTTCCTTATGTAGGGTTCCTTAGGGCAAGGCCCCGACTGTAAGCAACTTGTTGGAGGTCCGCGCGGATTGCTCAGGTCGGCGCGGGAGCCCCTTGCCCCTTGGCGGCGCCTCCAGCGCCGCCCCCTGGCGCGCTCCGCGCTCCAAGGCTGGGGTCCAGCGCCGATCCGAGAAGTCCGCGCGGACTGCCGAACGGTTGCGTCTTTGTTTTCGAGCCACGGCGAAGCCTCCTGGCTTGCCTGCAGGCCACGCGAAGAATGTTCCAAGAACCTTTTGTGGTCTGCACGAGGTGTTCCCAGAAAATGTCTGTCTGGAGCTGTCCTGCTTTAACACATCGGCCCTATGTTATGAGAACGTAGTTGTTGCTCTTAGAACATTGTTGGGTTCGAAGAACGCTCCCTCCCAAACGTGCGACGTCTAATTTTTTTGTTCAGGACGGTGTCCCTGGAAGTACCGACCCTTTCCCTGGGACCGGTTTTTCGTCTTGAATCGTCTTTTGACAGTCCCGAGGCCCAGCGAGGGCCCCCCAGGGCCGAAAATAGACAAAAACCTCCCGTCCTGATTTTTTGACGACGCGATCATGTCTGGGGTGGGCCAGCGAAGGTACACCTGCACAGTGGCTGCTTCATCTCTTCGTGTACCTCCTCCTCGTCCCTCGTCCTCCTCCTCCTCCTCCTCGGAGGAGGAGGAGGAGGAGGAGGAGGCGGGGGAGGAGGAGGAGGAGGAGGAGGAGGAGGAGGAGAAGGAGGAGGAGGAGGAGGAGGAGGAGGAGGTCCGAGCGGATTTCCCAGGTCGGCGCGGGAGCCCCTTGGCGGCGCCTCCAGCGCCGCCCCCTGGCGCGCTCCGCGCTCCAAGGCTGGGGTTCAGCGCCGATCCGAGAAGTCCGCGCGGGCCTCCGAACGCTTGCGTCTTTGTTTTCGAGCCACGGCGAAGCGTCCTGGCTTGCCTGTAGGCCACGCGAAGAATGTTCCAAGAACCTTTTGTGGTTTGCACGAGGCGTTCCTAGAACATGTCTGTCTGGGGCTGTCCTGTTTCAACACATCGGCCCTGTGTTCTGAGAACATAGTTCCCTACCTAGGCTCTGCCTAGAAGGGTTATTACTCTGAGGCTTAAAGGGCCGGGCAGTGGAATGCGCCCCAGGCGGTTCCCCCGGCATCCGCCCCGCGGTTCCCCCAGTGACGTTCCCTTAGTTTCGCGTTGCTTATCTCATCTGAGCTTAGCTTATTTCATCTTACCTTAGCTTAGCTTCATCTTACCTCAGTATTATCTTAACTTAGCTCACCTTCATATCCGTAAGGGCTTCGCCCCCTGACGCCTGCCCCCTCTCTCTGAGAATGGGCCATGGAAGAGCATGTTTTGGACCCTGACCCCGCGGATCTGCGTGAGGGGTGGCACCGAATTTCAGAAATGTAGCAAATCCCATTGGTTTTTGGACCCTGACCCCGCGGATCTGCGTGAGGGGTGGCACCGAATTTCAGACATGTAGCAAATCCCTTGTGTGTTTGGACCCTAACCCCGCGGATCTGCGTGAGGGGTGGCACCGAATTTCAGAAATGTGGCAAATCCCATGTGTTTTTGGACCCTGACCCCGCGGATCTGCGTGAGGGGTGGCACCGAATTTCAGAAATGTGGCAAATCCCATGTGTTTTTGGACCCTGACCCCGCGGATCTGCGTGAGGGGTGGCACCGAATTTCAGAAATGTGGCAAATCCCATGTGTTTTTGGACCCTGACCCCGCGGATCTGCGTGAGGGGTGTCGATTTCGAGCCCCCCCAGCAATTCAGACAACGCGCCCAGGTGGTGCTAAAAATCTGGTTTGGGCCTCCCCCCCCTCGCGCGGTCAATCAACTAGTTGCAGTAACCAGCAAGAAGCAGAACTGTAACACTGGAAACTACAAACTACAACTGGTACAGGAAACTGCGAATCACGGGCCTACAGCCTGGTGGCCCCACAAGGGGGCCGGCGGATTAGCTTCGCTGAGCTTTGGCATAGCAGAGCACAGCATAGCATAGCATAGCGTAGCATAGCATAGCGCAACACAGCATATCCTAGCATAGCCCAGCATCGTATAGCATAGCGCAGCATAGCATACCATAGCATATCATAGCGCATCACAGCACAGCGCAGCATAACACAGCGCAGCATATAATAGCATACCACAGCGTAGCATAACATAGCGCAGCTTATCATAGCATAGCATAGCAGAGCTTAGCATAGCACAACATGATATATCCCAGCTTAATATAGCATATCATAGCATAGCATAACATCGCGCAGCATAGCATAGCATATCATAACATAGCATAGCATATCATAGCATAGCATAGCATAGCGCAGCATTGCATTCCGTAGCATAGCAGAGCAGAGCATAGCAACTAATGCTGCTTGCCTAGGGGCTCCAACTTCTAGGTAGGGTCGCACTGGGGTAATTGTTGCTCTTAGAACATTGCTGGGTTCGAAGAACGCTCCGTCCCAAACGTGCGACGTCCAAATGTTTTGTTCAGGACGGCGCCCCTGGAAGTCCCGACCCTTTCCCTGGGACCGGCTTTTCGTCTTGAATCGTCTTTTGATGGTCCCGAGGCCCGGCGAGGGCCCCCCAGGGCCGAAAATAGCAAAACACCCCCCGTCCTGATTTTTTTGGCGACGCGATCATGTCTGGGGTGGGCCAGCGAAGGTACACCTGCACAGTGGCTGCTTCATCTCTTCGTGTACCTCCTCCGCGTCCTCCTCCTCCTCCTCCTCCTCCTCCTCCTCCTCGGAGGAGGAGGAGGAGGAGGAGGAGGCGGGGGGGGAGGAGGAGGAGGAGGAGGAGGAGGAGGAAGGAGGAGGAGGAGGAGGAGGAGGAGGAGGAGGAGGAGGAGGAGGTGGAGGTGGTGGAGGAGGAGGAGGAGGAGGAGGAGAAGGAGGAGAAGGAGCAGGAGGAGGAGGGGAGGAGGAGGAGGAGGAGGACGAGGAGGAGGAGGAGGAGGAGGAGGAGGAGGAGGAGGACGAGCAGGAGGAGGAGGAGGAGGAGGAGGAGGAGGAGGACGACGAGGAGGAGGAGGAGGAGGGCTTTTCTGCCAACGTCGGTCCCCGCTCAGTGCTTGTG